AGCTTGAGGGCCCACTCCATCTCGTCCACGCCTGCAACTTGGAGGGAAGCGAGGGGCGCGCGCAGCCCAGCCAGCCTTTCAGTGGGCGCGTCAAGAGGAGCAGCCGCACGCTCCCTCCTTGAGAGCTCGCGCCTGCCGCGCCTCAGCAGCAGCCCCCAACCACAGCGGCTGCCCAGCCACCACGCCCTCCCTGCGTGACAGCAGGCCCCCCGCACATCAACCCCTACCCTACCCCTCCACCCACCCACCCTGCGGCCGCATGTCTTCGTTGACTAGCTCCGGGGCGCAGTACTGCATCGTACCCATGGTGCCCGGCGTGAGGCGCCGCAGGTTGGGCGGCCCCTCGCCGCTTGTGGCTGCGAGCAGGAAGGCAGGCGGGCGGTTGCGGGGGCGGGGCGGCGGGGGCGCAGACGGCCAGGCTGGCGCCGGGCACTGCGACTAGCTGGCGAGTGTCGGATGCCAGGACCGCTGCGCTGGACAGCCCGCCACCAAGCACAAGCATGCCACCACGCAGTGCAGCAGCGGCGCCCCACCTGCGATGCGGGCCATGCCAAAGTCTCCGATCTTCATCATCTGGCCGTGGCCCACAAAGATGTTGCTGCAGGCACGAGGGGGAAGGTGGGCAGGTGGAAAGGGGAGGGAGATGACAAGGCATTGCGCAAAGCAGGCAGTCCAAGGGAGGACGGGGTATCGTCGCAAGCGCATGCAGGCAGGCCAGGAGAGGGAGACCACAGGGCAGCCAAATGGCCGGGCCATGGCGCCAGGCAGGCAGAGGAGATGGGGCCGTCTCCGGCAGCTGCGCTCACGCTGGCTTCAGGTCTCGGTGCAGGATGTTGCGGGAATGGAGGTAGTGCATGCCGCGGGCGATGCTGCAGATGGGAGGAGGGGAGGCAGGCGGGGAGGATGCAGGGCGGCGCAGGCAAGATTGGGCGGAACAGGTGCAGGAGGCGGCACATTGCAGCAGACAGGCATGGCATGGAGTGGTGGAGGCGCCGAGCAGGAAAAAACGGGCACAGCCACAGCGAAAGGCAGAGCAAAGGACGCTGTTCAGGTGGTATGCTGACCTGCGCACGAGGGGCAGCAGCTTCTGCGGGTCCCAAGGGTTCTTGGCAGAGTGATGCAGCATCACATCCAGGGTGCCCCTGCAGAGAGGTGCGATAGGGTGTGGTTGGAAACAGGGAGCTGTGCAGGCTTGCGTGTTTGCAGACGGTCGGGAAGAGGCATGGTACCTGGCTGCAGGCAGTACCGCTCACCTAGGGCAGTACTCTAGCACCAGGAACATGCTGCCCTCGTGCTGGCACAGCCCCCTGCACATGGCACAAGCCAGCAACAGCGATGGCACTCGGCAGCAAGCACAGGCAGCAGCCGTGCATGCACCGCATACATCCCGGCTGCAACCCTGGCCGCTGGCGGGGCCCCTGATATCGGGCCACCTCCTTGCACTCGCCGCCACCCTGTGCTACCTCGCCACGTCACCCTGCCACCTCAGCGCCCACCTCAGCGCCACCACGTTGTCGTGGCTGCCCAGCTGCAGGTACATCTCCACCTCGTGCAGCGAGTCCTCCGCCCGCTCAAACTTCTTCACCGCTACGGGCGACTCCAGGAACCAGGCCGCATATACCGCGCCCTCCGCGCCTGCACACGGAAGCAGAGGGGAGGCCAGAGGACAGTCGGGTGCCCCGCTCCCGTCGCCCACAAACACGAACGACCGTGGGGGCACACAGCAGGCAGGCAGGCTCAGAGCTGCGCGGCCAAGACCGGCTTCTCGAGGGGCACAACACCTCGGAGCAGAAGCAAACACAAGCCAGACGCACGCACCTGCGCCCAGCAGCTTGCCAAAGCTGAGCTCCTCGTAATCGATGACATCCACAGCCGCTGCCAGCTGCCACAGGCCGCCGCCCACTGCAGGACAGAAAGCAGGCAGGCAGGATGGCCAGCCGGCGCAGCACTGGGGCATTGGATGGTTGCAGCGGCAGAGCACCCGACGTCGGATCTCGCCCAGCAACCCCCTGGTGCCCACCGCTCGGCGCCGCACGCAGCGCTGCGCGCCAGCACCAGCAGAGCACCAGCAGCGCACCTGTGGAGACGCCTTGGGAGTACGGCAGGGAGCCTGGCGTGAGGGAGGCGAGCCGTGCAGAGGCCGCCTGCTGCTGCTGGTAGGCCAGCTGCTCCAGCGGGGAGGCGGCATTGGGCGAGGCGGAGGAGATTGAGCGGCGCAGGGGCGGGTGCTGCAGCGGCGTGGCGCGTGGCGTGTGCCCCGACAGCCCGTCTGCCTGCCCCCGCGGCTGGGCCAGCGGCGGCGGCGAGGCGTGCGGTGGGATGGGGCTGCTGCCCACCGCCGCGGCCTGCATGGCCATGAGGTATTGTGCTGCCAGGTCGGAGTCTATTGTGCTCATGCCGCTGTTGGGCGCGTGGGATGCCTCCTGCTGCCACTTGAACGACCGTGGCGGCGGCCCCGCCGCGCCTCCCGCGGCCGCCGCCGCCGCCATCGCCGCCATGTATTGCGCCGCGACGTTGGCATCCCCGCCGCCGCCAGGCGCCTGCTGAGCCGCTGCTGCTGCCGCCGGCACGGCCCCTGCCCCTGCCGCCGCCGCCATTGCTGCCATGTATTGCGAGGCGACGTCTTCATCGCCGCCGCCTGCTGGCGCCTGCCGCCGCGCCTCAGACGGCGGCGCCGGGCCTGAGCCAACCGCTGCCGCCGCCCCTGCCCCTGCTGCCGCCGCCATTGCTGCCACGTACTGCGCTGCCAGGTCAGCATCATAGCCGTCAGAGGAAGGTGCCACGGCGGTGGACAGGGCAGCCGCGGCGGGCGTGGCAGGCTCCACCTCCTCCTCCTCCCGCAGCCGCTGCAGGCGGCGGGAGCCATACCCCTCGCTGCTGGTCCTGCGCGGGATGCTGCTATAGGCGCCAGAGCCAGCCCGCAGCAGCAGCTCCGAGTCGTCTGTCTGCACTCCTATGCTCACAGACCGCACCCCGCCGCTGCCCACGCGCCCTAACGCCAGCGCTGCGCCCGGCGACGCGGCCCGTGGTGAGTCCAGGGCTGCACCTGCCGCCGCCACCCCTGCTGCTGCTGTTGCTGCTGCGCCGGCTGCTGCTGCTGCCGCCGCCGGCGGCCGCTGCGGCCGCGGCACGCCGGGGTGCGCGGCGGCGGCGATGGATTGCAGGTACGCCGCCATGCGCTGCCGCTTCTGCATCTGCAGGCTGCGCTCCTGCTCGCGCTGCAGCCGCTGCCGCTCCGCGCCATCCGCCGCACCCTCCTGGTGCGTGCCACCCGGCGAGCGCTTGGGGCGCAGGGTGCCGCTGGCGGCGCGAGGCTCCACGCCCACCGCCGCCTCATCATCCCACTCATTGGTCCCTGCCTCCGACTCCCCGCCAGGCTCGCTGCGCCGCCGGGACGACTCCGGATTGGATTGCGACAGCGACAGCGAGGAGTGCTGGCCCCGGCTGGCGGCGCGCAGGCGGCGCCCCAGGTCGATCATGCGGGAACTCAGCTGGGCCAGCGCCCGCCTGCTGCGCGCGCTGCTGCCGGGGCTCATGGGCGCGTCGCCAGAGGCGCGGCGGGACGGCGACGCCACCGCCGCGGGGCTGCCCGTCATGAGCGATAGGGTGGCCATGCCCGGAAACCCCACCAGCTCGCGGCTGCTGGTGTTGCCCAGCAGCACCGGCCCGCTGCGCTGCCTGCCCGACTCATCCAGGGTTTCCGCAGGCGGCGGCGCATCGGGGGCCATCAGCATGAGCAGCAGGTGGGCCAGGGCGCGGCGCCACGAGTGGTACGTGGCCGCATCTGTGCCAGGGGCGGGTGGTCGGAGCAGGTCAGCAGCAGCAGCAAGGCGCCGAGCAGCCGATGGGCCATGGCCAGCCCCACAGGCTTCCCATCCACGTGTGCGCTGCCCTCATCCACCCAACATCCCACCTCCCAGGCCCAGGCCCAGCCCACCTCTGAACTTGAGCACCAGCTCGGCATCAAACGGGAAGGTCAGCGTGATGGTCAGCGCCACATCATCGCACGCCAGGTCATCAATGTAGTACAGCCGCACAAACCTGCGGTGCATGCGGTACAGACGGTACAAGTGAACGGGTGCGGGGCGGGGCCATGTTTGGAATGCTTGCAAAGCACGCCAGGCGGCCGCAGCAGGGTGCAGCAGCAGCGGAGCGCACTTGTTCCAGCCCCAACGCAGCGTGCTGCCGTCGTAGGACAGTTGGAAGAAGCGGACTTTGTTGGGGGTCCTCTGCATGGCAGGCAGGCAGGCGTGCGGCAGGTAAGCAGGGCCAGCCCATGCCATCAGTAAGTTGCTCTGCATCGCAGCCATTGCCCAGCCCAGCAGCCGAGAAGCAGAATGCTCAGCTCGGCTTGGCAGCTGCACCCTCTCTCTCACCGCCGTGGGCTTGCCAATCCAGGCACCCTCATGCATGCACGCCAGCAGCGGGTCGCCTGCAGCACAGCAGAGCAGGGCTGGAGCATCATGGCAGGCGCAGCTCAGACAGATGCCGGAAGGCGGCTGCCCTGATGCATGGCTCGCTCAGGGCCCGCAGGCAAAAGCAGTGCTGCGCCATGGACGCGCAGCTGCTTGGATGCTGTGGCAACAACGCTCGCCTGCCGCAGCCACGCTGGTGATCCCGCCGCCGCCCACCAGGGCGGTGGCAGCCGCCCTGTTGGTCTCCCCATACTTCCAGTCCCGGCAGAAGCGGTTGTACATCAGGTAGGCCGCGGCTAAGAAAGGCCTTCTTTGAAGGCGCTGGAGCTAGTGTCTAAACCCTCCGAGAGGGCACAGGTTCGATTCCTCCCATGTCGAAACTTTGTGAGGACAAACGCGGCATAGCTGACCGGCTCAGCGCCAATCCAAGCCAATTCCTTCGGGAACGCCTAATAGAATCGCCAAGGCTTCGGCACAGGCCTCCCCGGGACCCATTCACTACTAGTGGGGGGTACTGCACTTGGCGCGTCGGGCAGATCAAATAATGGTCTAAAGCTAGACGTTAAAACCGGGAAGTGAAGCTTGTGGAGGCTCTTCCCCACCTTTACCTTTACCTTTACATCAGCTGCGTGGTGACCCACACCCTGCACGCCGGCCCAGCAAGGAGCAGCCCCGTGCAAGATAAGATGCAAGATAGGAAGCAGCGGGAGGTGAGCAGGCACAGGTTGCTTGCAGGGGTACATAAACCAGCCTTGTCAAGAACAACAAGCCAGACAGAAGCAAGAGCGACAGCCTGAGCTGGTCAACAGATAGGGTGCAGCGGGGCAGGACTAGGGCTCACCCCAGGGTTGTACCCATGTAAACAACGGCGGCGACATGCAGCGAGATGGAGGCATTGGCCGAGTCGTTGCCGCTGCAGGGCAGGGCAGGACAGCGCACAGACAGCATGAGGGCACGCCCCGCTGGCGAGCACATGCAACTCATGCCAGCACAGGGACCGGGAAGCTGTGCAAGACCACACAAACATGCGGGGCAGATGATGTGCCGCTTGTTGCAGACACATCCAGAGCGGCACTCACTCGAGTTGATAGATGGCGATGGAGCCTATGGACTGGCCCAAGCAGCACATCATCGCCACATGGAACACCACCAGAAGCCTGAAGGCAGGCAGGCAGGGGGACATACGTGAGTCACACTGATTGCCCTGTTGCTCTCTGCAAGCAGAGGCTGCTGCAATGGTGTCAGGTGCCGCCACCCACCTCATGTTGTGGGGCCGCTGCTTTGTGTTAACCACCAGCAGCACCGCAAGCCACGTGGCGCCGGCGCCGATGAACAGCCCCGCCAGGCTGAGGGCCAGCAGGGAGGCCAGGATGTCGTCTCGCTTCTCGACAGACACATCAATGCCAAGGGTAACCAAGACCACCTGCACGGCAGAGGCCGGAGGTGGGTGGCAGGGAGTGAGGGCCAGCATTTCAGCACAGGCGCTGTGGTCATGCACAGCAGGGGCAGAGGCAGGGCATGCGGCAGCTGGGAGGCGCAGCCACTTGCCAGCAGCATGCTGTTGATTTTCAGCAGCGTGGCGTAGGAGTTGCGCAGGATGGCCAGCCGCATCCTGCAGGCCAGCCGGGAGGTGGGCGGGGAGGAAGCATGCACAGAGTCGCGAGCCTGTCACTGGCAGGGGCAGCTGAGCGCAGAATGGGTGCAGCCCTGGATGCGTGCAGTCCGCCAGGCGGCTGTGCTGGCACGTACTTGTCGGCGGCGCCCTTCTCGCGGAAGTCCACCCCCAGCTTGCTGTACAGCCGCCACCCAAACTCGCGGTACGCCAGGATGGCCACAATCTGCATGGGGATGGGGTGGGGCCGCAGCGGTAAGCTGTCCCGCAGCAGCTGTGTGGTGGCAAGCTGCGGCGGCCATGGTCCCAAATCCCCGCTCGGACTGCGCTGCCAGGGGCCCCACAAGGCAGCAGCCTCACAATGTAGATGGTCTGCACGATGAGCATGATGGTGCACCAGGTGATCTTGAAGGCCGCATGGCTGCTGCCCTCAAAGGCAAAGAAGATGACTCGGGCCACCACCAGCGTGTCTGCGATGGAGTGGCAGTGCGAAGATGCGGCGGTCGCCTCGGCGGCGCACACAGATTCAACAGACCCGCTCCACGTCTGATCCAGCTGGCCCGCTGGTAGAACTGCGCTGCCAGCCCGCATCGCCAATGGCAGCATATGGCCCTGTCGGTGCCAGCTCTGTGCCATGCCATGCATACACCGCCACCGCCACAACTGCCAGCCACCCACCGATGACGATACTGGAGGCCAGCTCCAGCGTGTTTTCGTATACAATGGCATCCGCGACCGTAATGATGACAAACACGGAAGAGATCTGCGGGGGAAGGGGGGCGCAGGGCGGCAGGCTGGAATCTGCTGGCAGGGCAGAATGGCAGATGGGCACGGTTCCAGCCCCGTCACCATTTGCGGCAGCGCTACCCGCGCGTGCTGCTGCCTGATGCCTGGGCGTCACTTGAGCTGCGCTAGCTGCATCGCTCTGTGCCGACCTGCACCGCTCACCAGGATGATCAGAGTGATGTGCAGCTCTTCGTCTGCTGTTGTGAGGGCCACCGCCACCGTGGCATAGCTCACAGACATAAAGAAGTTGACGACTGCAGATCAGTGGCAGGGGGGTAAGATGTCACGTAGGGAGACGCTGGCAAGCGGCACAGGGGGCTGGTATGCAGGTGCACAGGAAAGCAGAGCGGCAAGGTGGACGGCAGGGTGAACGCTGGCTGCTGGTGGGCCGCACCTGCAACGATCAGCGTTGCCTTGCAGGCGGTTGGCAGCTCCCACCACAGCCGTGCCGCACTATGCCACCACAGCTGCAGCCGGCCTTTGAACGTGGACGGCGGGGAAGGTGCTGCCGCTGCTGCCGCCGCCGCCGCGGCTGCTTTGCCAAAGCTTCCAGAGCCGCTAATCTGTGCTGCCAAGCTGCTGGTGCGCAGGTGCACCGCGGCAGCCGCTGGCCGGTCGGGGGGCGGCGAGCCGCCGCTGCCGCCATCGGCGGGCAGCCCGGGGCTGCCGGCACTGAGCTTGGCCTCCACATCATCCTTGCCATCCATTGGGGCGCGCGCAAGCTTTCAGGTTTCAACCCAAGAACTGGGTGCTTGTTCCTAGCCTCGAGAGAGTGCACTCACTGAACGGCCAGGCAGGTAGGCCTCCCGGTAAGGATGTGCCCCATGATGGGCATGATGGCCCCCCACCTGGAGGGTCATTGGGGACATCATCCTCAATCATGCATCATTCTCCCTCCCGTTTGTTCTGTTGGCATCCCAGCAACCGTAATATGCTTTCTAGGACATGAGCCACCACTTTAGGGTGAAGGTGGTTAGCAAGACCACGGCCCCCAGGCCTCTAGACGGGCCACAGCCAAAAAGATCCCGTGCAAGTAGACCAGGACAACAAGCTCCCTTCAATGTGCCAGGGCAGGCCAGGCGGCGGGGTGAGAGGGATGACAACGAGGATGAGCGAGCACCCAGCGGCTTCTTAGGCTGGGGCGACCGGCAAGGACGCAAACGTGATCACTGGGAGGCTCGGCTCGGAGCGGACGTGGATGCCTTCTTGGCCTCTCTGCCGGGCCGGGCGGCGCAGCAGCGGCAGGAGCGCCAGCAGCAGCTCCAGCAGCGGCAAGCCCAGCTGGCCAGCATGGAGCCGCTTCCTTGCCACTTAGCAGCAGAAAATGGCAGCTGCTGTGAGTTGCACAAGACGGGCAGCCAGGCAGCTGTGTTTTATGGGCCGCTCGGCGTGGTGGGCAGGCTCACGTTGCCGGTATGGGAGTGCAAGACGCATGGGCGCCCCAATATCACCGTGCACCCTCTCCAGATCAGCTGTGTGCCGACTGCGCCAGTCAATAACACCAAG